AGATGCCTTTTGGGACTCCTACATCCTATATTAGAGTACTTGGGTTCAAGTCTTGATTGAGCTTTCAATTTCAGCTCCTGCTAATGTTCCCTCCATCCTGAAAGGAAACATGTTATGCTCAAGTGTTTGGACCCCAAGTCACACCCATGGGATACTTGGATTGAGTTCCAAACTCCCAGCTTTGGTGTGCCTATGCCCCCATCACTGGGGGTCTTTGGGAAATAAACCACAAGAGGGAAGTGTTTTATGTCTCTGCTTCTTAAAGATTTTCTAAACACACATACAATGTATTTTTGAAAAAAATAAGTCTGTTAGTAGTGGGAACACAAAGAATATCAGGTGAAAAGAACGCTATGACTGGTATCCTGAATAAAAGCAAGCCAGTCCTGGGCTGGGCTGAAGTTCTGAGGCCTAGATTTCTGAGATGGGATGACCTGGAGCACAGTAAGGCTGAAGTTGACCCAGGAGATGGCATCTAGGGATAGTGCTACACGAAAAGCTGAATATAGAGTTCCGTGTGTGTGAGAGAGAGAGAGGGACAGACAGACAGACAGACAAAACAGAGGAGCCTGGGAGATGGGTGAAGTACAAGCATGAAGCAAATGAGGGTCTGCCTTTAGCCCTAGCTGTCAAGATGCTCATATACCACGCTGCAGTGCTCAGCTCCTGGCGCTAGCTTCCTGTTAATGCAGACCCTGAGAGGCAAAAAACAATGCCTCAAGTAGGTGCAATCCATGGTAAAAATCTGGACTGAATTTCTGTCTTCTGGCTTTAGCCTCACTCAGACAATGCATGAGAGTCTCTCTGTCTCTCTGTCTCTCTCTCTCTCCCCTTTCCTTACTGCCTCCCTTTCTCTTTCTCTCCTCTCTCTCAAATATATGTTTTAGAAAAATAGAGCCATGAAACCAGAGTGAGTCTAGGAGAGAGAACAGGAGGCAATCTGCCATAACCTAAGCTGCAAAGGCATAGCTGAAGATGCTTTTTATATGGTGCCTATGAGAGGGGAGGTGACGATGAAGGGGCCCAAGCTGTTTTGTACAGTCAGATCTTTGTGTTCGGAAGTGGCGTCTGACAGCAGGATGAAGGAGGGGTGCGATGCGCCTGGAGAGGCTGGCACGGGGAGATAATTCTGGAGACTACTGCAGTTGCTCAAGCAACAGATTAAACAGCCTTAAAGCAGCACCGAGGCCAACAGAACTAGACTGCGTGAGGGGTTCCAACAGGAAAGGGAATTAGAACCAATGGAGAAATAAGGGTAAACTTAAGGATTCAAGCTTGGGTGTTTGATTTTATAAAAAATAAAATTTTATTTTTTATTTATTTGAAAGGCAGAGTTACAGAGAGAGGAGGAGAGATAGAGATAATCTTTCATCTACTAGTTCACTCCCCAAATGGCTACAATGGCCAGGGCTGCATCAGGGTAAGGCCAAGAGCCAGGAATTCCTTCCAGATCTTCCACATGGGGCCCAAGGACTCAGGCCATCTTCCATTGCTTTCCCAAGTGCATTAGCAGGGAGTTGGGTCCAAAGTGGAGCAGCCAGAACTCAAACTATAAGAGGTGCCAGGGTCATAGGCAGACATTTAGCCTGCTATACTATAACAGCCACGCTTGGGTATCTGAGAGAAGAAAGCCACTGACAGAGCTGAGAGAGGAGAGTGTAGGACTGACTGCCAACAGTCCAGAATTCATTCTTTCTTTCTTAGCATTAGAAGTATTAACAGAGCACATAGCTGCTCAACTACATGAAGTTTCCCAGTCTCTTTTGCAGCTCAGTGTGTTCAACAGAATAGAAGCAAATGTGTTATGTGTTTTCCAGGCCTATTACCTAAAGTCTGCCCCATGAGTCCCTTCAGTTCTGCCGTTACTTTGCCCTCTTGCTGTAGGCTAGAAAAATGAATACTAACACACCTTGGAAGCTGTACGTTGTAGATGACATAGCCATCACCCACCTGGGCCCCTGATCTCACCTGGGGGGGGGGAAGTACATTAGTACATTTCTATCCTGTTGAGAGAGAATCCCATCACATTTGGGATCCACTTGTTACAGCACTTACAGGCAATCCTAGCTAATACAGAGGGCAAAGTGTGTAAGGAGACTGGGTTTGGAGGCAGGTATTTGGCCTAGTAGGAAATCTAACAGTTGAGACACCCATATCCCATATCAGTGTGGTGGGTTCAATACTAGGAACCACTTCTTGCTAATGAAGTTGTAGGCTCAAGTAGTTTGTCCCTGCCAGCAAGGTCTGGAAGGTCTGGATTGAGTTCCTGGCTTCTGGTTTCAGCTCAGCCCCAACTCCAGCCATTGTGGACTTTGGAGGAATGAACCAACAGAAGCTCTATCTTTCTGTCTGTCTCTGAAATACATTTTTAAAAATTGGCTTCTTGGGCCTGGCATGGTAGCATAGTGGCTAAAGTTCTCACCTTAAACATGCCAGGATCCCTGCACCTGCATGGAAGACCCGGAAGAGGCTGCAGGCTCCTGGCTTCGGATTGGCTCAGCTCCTGCCTTTGAGGCCACTAGGGGAGTGAATCAGGGGATGAAAGATCTTCTCTCTCCTCTCTGTATATCTGACTTTCCAATAAAAATGAAGATAAATAGACAAATAAACAAATTCTATTTTTTAAAAAATGGCTTCTTACAGTCACAAAATGTACGTTGAATTCATTGGATCCCAGAAAAATGAATGAAAGAGTTTATCTATTAAAAGGCAAAAGAAACAATCCTGGAAAATGAATTTGTCACAAAATGCAAAGGGATAGCTGGTGGCTGGAGCTGTCGGAGAGCCATCTGTATCTACAAATGTGTCACATATCAGAAGGGCAGGTCATATCCTGAGTGGGTGGAAGACTAGAAAGCATGGGAACAAGAACCACACGGTATTTTCAGTTCTCTAATGTCACACTTGAAGCATGTAGGACTCCCTGCTTCCCCGCTGTCCCAGGCTTCTTTCTGAGCATCTGGCCCTTACCCTCTGCAGAGGGACAGCAGATGAGGGGACCCTGTTCCTGCTCCCCTTCTCAACTGACCAGACAAGAGAAGAGGAAAGTCTGATCCAAATGTGGCTAACCAAACTGTCCCTCTTGAAACGTTTGGAATCAAGTCTCAGAAACTTCAATTTGTAAATTGCAAGTTAGTGACACGTGAGATCATGTACAGTTGGAATTGAAAATACTCTTTGAAGAGTACTAGCATCAGCCCCTGTAGGATGGAGATGCAGATCATATCTGTGTGCAGTGTCACAAGAAAGCAAAGGTGGGCAGAACTGAGAGGCCATGTAGTTTCAGGCAAATAGCCCTTAGCAAACAAAATCTCCTCTAGAACTCTATCTTCGATAGTGTCTGGATTTTGCATATCAAAGATGTCCCATCACTATGCCACTTGTGTTTGATCTGAAGCTCTGTATTTATAATTTTTTAAAAAGTCATCTTTTTCTCTCAGCTTGTTTGTTATAAATTTCTTTTGAAAAAAAATAGTTATTTGAAAGGCAAGGTTACAGAGACAAGAGCTCTACCTCCATTAGCTCACTCCCCAAATGGCCACAATGGCCAAAGCTGGGCAGCTTCAAACCAAGAATCAAAAGCTTCTTCCAGGTATCCCAGGTGGGTGCAGGGGCCTGAGGACTTAGAGCGTCTTCTGCTGGTTTCTCAGGTGCGTTAGCAGGCAGCAGCATCAGAAGTGGAGCAGTCAGGACTCGATCTGTTATTGGATGATGTTAAATGCTATGCCACAGCCCTACCCAACCCCCCGCCCCAAGGTGTTTTGCATAGCAACTGAAATAGTTTTTATTCCCACTAATAAAGGATGGCTATCCTAATTTCTCCACCTCTTTCCAACTCCTGTTTCTTTTCCATTTTTACAAATTGTAGCTATCCTAAGTGGATAAGATACAGTATTACATTATGATTTTGACTTGCACAGGCCCCCATTAAAGGTTTCTAGGAGTTGGACCCAAACAATCCTGATCAACATAATACTTTAAATATTTGAAAGTATCTTCTCTAACATTATCACAGTAATTCTCGTAAGACCACGGGGAACTTGATGAAACCAAGAGATAGAGAAGTGATCCAAAGCCCTACAAGAAAACAGAGAGGGTACAAGGACGAGTGTGGCCCTGTGCTTGTGAGCTGAGCTTCCAGATGCCAGTGCAGAAGATGCCACAACTTGGTGAGTTTGCACATTACATAACTGTGGTGTCACTGACTTAATTTAATCTCAATGCACTCTCCACAGATGAAGGTTCTAGGGGGAGCGGTAGACGTTAGCTCATCGTTTGAAACACCCATATCAAAGTGCCTGGCATCGCTTTTCGTTTCACACTAATGCATGCCCTGGGAGACAGCAGTCATGGCTCATGTACTTGGGTCCCTATCACTCACCTGGAAGATCCAGATTGATTTCCTAGCTCCTGAATTCCCCAGCCTTAGCGGTACAGGTGTCTGCAGAATCAACCAAGGAATGGAGGATCTCTCTCTTCTCCTGCATTTCAAATAGAAAAATAAACAAAGAAACAAATAAGTAAGTAATAGAATGCTCTGGAAATGACAGGATTCAGGTTCTGGAAAGAAAAAAAAAGGCACTTTTGGAAAAAATCAAAATTAAATGGGAATATTAAAATTATCTAGGACCTGTTGCGATGGCTAAATTAATCCTTTCCTTGCAATTGCCAGGATCCTATACGGCCACTAACTCATGTCCCAGCTGCTCCACTTCCCATCCAGTTCCCTGTTTGTGGCCTGGGAAAGCAGTAGAGGATAGCCCAAGGCCTTGGGACCCTATACCCACATGGAAGACCCAGGAGAAGCTTCTGGCTCCTGGCTTCAGATTGGCTCAGCTCTGGCTGTTGTGGCCACTTGGGAAGTGAACCAGTGGATGGAAGATATTTCTGTCTCTCCTTTTCTCTGTAAATCTGCCTTTCCAAGAAAAATAAATAAATATTTTTAAAATTAAAAAAAATCTTAAAAAATAATCTAATAAAATTAAAATTTAAAGAAAAAAGTTGATGAGGCATTTTTATTTAGAGAAAAAAGTTCGTTTCCAAGTAAAATGTACTGAGCAAGTGAAAGTTTATTAGTATTACCAGTGACCAATATATGGAACCAGGAACAATGGAATGGTTCTGCTACCCATCTACCATCTTTAACGACATACTATTCATGCTGAAAAAACTAAGGAGAAAACTCTGGGTTCAGAGCTCAGCCTTCAGTTGACCCCACATACCCGGGTGAAAGCTGAGAACCACTCACTTTGCGCTTCTGACTACTCTGAATAATCACTTACATAAGTGCTTCTTCATTTCTTCGTTCATTAAATTTTTAATGAGTCCTTCCCAGGCACCAAGCTCTCTAGGGACACAGCAGAGGACAAAGACAGCCAAAGTTCCAGTGTTACAGAGTGGAAATTTGCACTCAAGTGTGGAAAGCAGGCAAAACACCACAAACAAGCAAAAGATGTCATGTTGCTTCAGTGCTGGAAAAGAAATGAGTTTTGGGGCCGGGGGAATGAAGGGAAGCCCTCTGTGATAAAGCAACATTTGAGTAGCAACTCGAATGGAATGAGAGCAGGGACCATGTCATTCTCTATGCTACGGGCAGAGGAAATTGCGGATCCAAAGGCTCTGAGGCAGGAATGTGCCTGGTTGATTTGGGGACAATAAGGGAACCAGTAAGCCGGAAACACAGCAAGTTGGGGCTGAGAGGTGAGAGAAGAAATCTGAGAGGAAATAGGGGCCCAGGTCACATAAAACATTGTATGTCACAGTAAACATGGGATTCTACTCCATTTGAGGTAAGTCCTCTCGCAGACAGAGTTTCAGTCTGACTGTTTAACTTTGATCGTTTTGACTGCTGAGTGGGAAGTACTTCAAAGAGGCAAGAGAAACACAGGACTGACCATTGCACTTGGCCATCCAGATCACTTTGATAAAGATGGTTTTGGTGGAGAGAAGACATGGAAGACATGAGGCGAGACTAGTATGACCTAAAAAGAAACAAAGTCATACATAGATGCATGCATATATTCACATGAACTAAATATGCACATCCACACTTTGTCTAAGCAGGGGTCAGATGACTTCTAGTATCAGGAAACCTGTCTGAAAGCAGACTAGAAAAGGGTCAAGGATGAGGTCTGACCATAGGGGGAGGTGCTTGGGGCAGCAGTTAACACATCACATGGGATGCCAACATCCAATACCACAATATCTGTATCAACTCCTGGTTCTACTCCCAAGTCCAGCTTCCTGGAAGGCTGCAGGTGATGACTCAAGCACTTGGGTTTCAGCTACCCACATGGCAGACTCCAGTTGAATCCCTAGCTTCTGCCTTCAGCCTGGCCTAACCTCAGCTGCTGCAGGCATCAGGGGAATGGCCCAGTGACTAGGAAATGCCTGGCTATTTACCTTTCATATAATATAATACATATATATTTAAATGGTTTGTATATTGATTGCCTTCACCACTATTTCATTGTCTGATTTTACACTGCCTTTCAATATCTTCCCTTAATTTTCACAAGAAATTACCAGGCTGACAAATGACCTTAAACATGTTTAAATGTAATTCCTATGGGGCAAGCATTGTAACTCAGCAAGTTTAGCCACTGTCTGTAATGCTGGCATTCCCTATGAGTGCTGGTCCGAGTCCCTGGAGGCTCCGCTTCTGACCCAACTCCCTCCTAATGTGTCTGGGAAAGCAGAAGAAGGCTCGAGTGTTTGGGCTCCTGGCATTCATGTAGGAGACCTGATGGAGTTCCAGGCTCCTGGCTTTGCAACCATTATGGTGTGACCTAGTGGACTGAAGCTCTTTTACTTTCTCTTTTTTTGTCACCCTACCTTTTGCATAAATACATAACAATACCTTGAGGAGGAAAAAAAGACCACTTTTAAAGAATGTGCCAAGAAAATTAACACAGAATGAGCCTTAATTCTTAGTCTTATATTTCAACAAGTATTTTGCTTAGCAAATCACCATAGAAATAATGTTATATTCCTACCAAAAAGACTCTTTTATTTACCAAATAATCAAAATTATGAGACTTTGTTATAAATTCATAGTGTATTAAAACAGTAACGTATTATGGTTTTGTTTATTTTTGATAAAAAGGAAACATCCCAAACCTCTTCAAGCTGTTCAGGGTCTCCTATTTCAGTGGATCCAACCAGCTCCCACGCTAAGGGACACTGCCTGTCTTTTTTCCTTCATTTAGGGTTAGATTTTTCTGACCTAGACTTTCAGAATAGTTTTCCTTCTCTTCCTTTACTGAAGAGCTCCACAATAGTTAGGTTCCAACTTTGTAACATAGTTAGGCCTTCTGCGGCCACAGAAGGACAGAAGAGGGTTACTCATACCTCACAATTCAATCTGCAGGACAGTCACAAAGAAAGGAAAATCAGACCCAGTGTGGTAGCCTAGCAGGTTCTAATCCCAGACGACCCGCTTCCCATCCAACTCCCTGCTTGTGGCCTGGGAAAGCAGTAGAGGACAGGCTAAGGGCTTCGGACCCTGCACCTGTGTGGGAGACCTGGAAGAGGCTCTGGGATCCTGGCTTCAGATCTGCACAGCTCCAGCCTTTGAGGCCACTTGGGGAGTGAATTAACAGGCAGAAGATCTTCTTCTCTGTCTCTCTTCCTCTCTGTATATCTGACTTTCCAATAAAAATAACAAAAATCAATCTTAATAAAAAAGCAAGCAGGAAAATCAATGACCTGATGTGCTGTGCTGTTTAGACAACAGGAGCACAGGACAAAGCCAAGACCATCAGTTAGTTCTAGCCCTACAAAGCGTCAAGCCAGAACCATACTTCAATTACTTTTTTACATACATACACAAAAGATTTAACACCATCACATTAACCCAAACTCTATATTTGCATAGTGTCTACCCATCAAATATTTTGATCATTTTGTACATTAACCACATAACCTGATTTTACATTATTTTACGATAGAATATTTTAATAATTCTTTGTACTCCATGTAGGTATTATAACCAATCAGAAGTGAAGAAATAGAACCAATGGCAAAAGATAATTCATTTTTGGTCACACAGAATTAGTAACAAGGATAGCAATCTAAACCTGATCCTTTTCCACAAAGCCTAAAATTTCAGAAAGATTCCCCAGAAAAAACAGACCCATTCACAGCCTCTGTGACATAGTCACTTTGATATCACATACAATGTTTAACATATTTTGATATGACATATCTATAAGATTATATAATCTGTAGATCTATAATCTATAAGGTCAATTTCAAGGCTCCGTAGAAAATAAAAGTAGGACTGGGCTTTGGCTAAGCAGTTAAGGTGCTTGCATCCCATACCAAAATGCCGTGGGTTCAAGTCCCAGTTCTGTTTGCGTTTCCAGTTTCGTTCTTCGGAGACAGACTGTCCCCGGCTCAGGGCTAAGGCCTGACCCAGCCTGGCTGCTCATGCATTTAGACAGTGAACCAGCAGATGGGAGCTCTGTCTGTCCCTTTTCTTCTCTTCCAATGGAACCTTCTGCCCATGTGTCTGGGAGGTAGCAGCAGGTCATGGGCCAAGTTCTTGGGTCCCTATCGCCCACACAGGAGGCTCTGATGGGGTTCCTGGTCCTGGTTTCAGCCTAACCCAGTCTGGCTGTTGCAGATATTTGAGAAATGAATTAGTAGATGAAAGATATCTCTCTCTTTCTGTAACTCTGCCTTTCAAACACATAATTTTTTTAAAACAAAAAAAAGCAATTCTAATATAACAAGAAAAAAGAAGAGTGTTACTCTAAACATAAAAATTAGTAGCATAAATGCAAGACCAAACATGGTACACAAAGTACTTAAAAAGGTTCTAGAGAGAATAAGGGAAACTTTGCTGAAGAGGTGTTTTTTGAAATGGGTCTTACGCACTCAATGGATTTTAGCTGGTAAAAGGAGTAACGAATAAATGAAGTAATGCATCACATGTTACTTTGGTAACTAAAAAGAATGATATAATTTCCTCATTACTCTTCACTCATACTACACAAGATCATGGTAACCAGATACCAAGTCTTTGAAAATATAAGATTAGAATTTTACCTTCCTTTTGCTTTCTAAGACCTGTCTCTCATAGTAAGAGATTTATATGCCACAAAAAGTCATTGTTAGCTCATATGCCTTTGGGTATACGGGGAAATAAAGTCAATATAATTACAACATTAATATAATACTTTGGGTCTTTAATTTTCCCTGCACAGAAACATGTTAAAGCAGCCATGGGCAAGTCTTCCTGCAAGTAAATAGAAAAACTAGTTTATAGGGAAATAGCAGAAATTCTGCAGGGATGCCTTTCTTTAGAGAAAACAGAGACCTTTTTAGACTCTGGCGAAGTGGCATGGTGAGTAATGCCACTGGGGGCATCCTGTCTCATATTGCTGGTTCAAATCCCAGTTGCGCCACTCCTGATCCAGCTCCCTAATGGCCTGGGAAAAGCAGCAAAAGACGAGTGTTTGGGCACCTGCAACCCACATGGGAGGCACAGATGAAACTCCTAGCTCAGACTAGCCCAGCCCTGGCCAATGCAGCCATTTGCGGAGTGAAACAACAGATGGAAGACCTGTATTTCTCTTTGTAACTCTTTCAAATAAATAAGTAAATCTTAAAAAAAAAAAAAAAAGAGCTAATTAGTGGCTTCAGACACCTCTAAGCTTTGCATATCATGAAGCTGCACAGTGCGAATGAAGGCGTAAGACTAGTTTCTCCTGTGGATGCTTGTGGCACAGAGGGAGGTGGGAAGGGATCAAGAAAGCATATCACTGTAACTAATTTTTACCTTTGATGAAACTGCTGTGAACTGGAACAAACATCCTCGTGGACACACACACGGCGTTCAATCCAGAAGCCCAGGCTCCGGGATTGACGGTTCCCAAGCAGCACCATCCAGCAGAAACAGGAGACACAGGATGCAGTGTTTAAAAAGTTTTTTCTTAAAGTAAAACTAGGGGGCCGGATGTGATAACATAGTGGTTAAAGGCCTTGCCTTGCATGCGCTAGGATCCCATATGGTCGCCGGTTCTTATCCCAGCGGCCCTGCATCCCATCCAGCTCCCTGTTTGTGGCCTGAGAAGGCAGCTGAGGACGGCCCAAAGCCTTGGGACCCTGCAACTGTGTGGGAGACCCGGAAGAGCTCCTGGCTCCTGGTTTCGGATTGGCTCAGCTCCAGCCACTGCGGTCGCTTGGGGGAGTGAACCATTGGAGGAAAGATATTCCTCTCTGTCTCTCCTCCTCTCTGTATATCCACCTTTCCAATAAAAATAAGCAAATCTTAAAAAAAAAAAAAAAAAAAAGAAAACCAGGGCTCGATGTGATGGCTTAATGGCTGAAGTTCTCATCTTGCACCAGTTAGTGTCCCGGTGGCCCTGCTTCCCTCCCAGCTCCCTGCTTGTGGCCTGGGAAAGCAATCGAGGACGGCCCAAAGCCTTAGGCTCCTGGCTCCTGGCTTCAGATGGGCGCAGCTCCGGTGTTTGCCGTCACTTGGGGAGTAAATTAGTGGACAGAAGATCTTCTTCTCTGACTCTCCTCCTTTCTGTATATCTGACTTTGCAATAAAAATAAAATAAATCTTTTTTAAAAAAGTAAAAGCAAATAGGTGAAACAACTTCCTAACATGGAAGCAATACAAAAATTATTTACTTTCTTTTTTTTTTTCTAAAGATTTATTTATTATTTTTATTGGAAAGGCAGACATACAGAGAGGAGGAGAGACAGGGAGTAAGATCTTCTGTCCACTGATTCACTTCCCAGTGACCACAACAGCTGGAGCTGAGCCAATCTAAAGTCAGGAGCCAGGAACTCCCTCCAGGTCTCTGGGACTGGGGCAGGCTGAAGCCAGGAGCCCCGAGTTTCTTCCGGGTCTCCCACATGGGTGGCAGGGGACCAAGTACTTGAGCTACCTTCCAGCGCTTTCCCAGGTGCTTCCGCAGGCAGCTGGGTTGAAAGCAGAGCAGCTGGGATTCGAACCAGTGCTCATATGTGATGCTGGCAACCATGTAACTGCTTCACCTACTATGCCACATGGCCTAGTCACTCTTACAGCTAGAAGTCATATGGTACAGGATTGGGTAATAAGATGAAAGAGGAAGTCTGTTAAATCATATGGGGAAGTTTTCTTTTTTCTTCTTTCTTTCTCTTTTTTTTTTTTTAAAGAAGAGAGAAGTGTCCAGGAGAGGGTTTTTTTTTTTTTTTTAACTCAAACAACGTGAAGAACATGATCAGGGCTGGGACAGCCACCTTGTGACTAAAAGACTCTGCAATACACTGGAGACAACATAACAGTAAGGTTCCTTCCCTCAGACACAAACGGAATGAAGAATCCAAGGGTGGGCTTCCCCAGCAAATGAAGAGTACATCAGGAAAGATGCCCTCAGAGGACATTGCCTGAACACTCAGAAGCAAAGTTCACCCTTCTTTGTCTCCTCCAGCCCTCACTTGGCCTCCGTTCTGACTGCACTGAGTGACTGAGTACCGAATATGCCGATACTTAATAGAGGGGAACAAAGTTGTTCCACACTTTCTCTTAATGTCTTGGTGTCACAATAACTCAGAGAGTCCAGATTCACTAATTTACAGTGAGTACAGCTTTTCCACTAATTTGTGATGTCAGGATAATTACAAGGGATATGCCCAGAACACTGGGCAAAAAAAAAAAAAAAAAAAAAAAAAGGCACAGTTGGCAGGCCTGGCATGGTAGCACCACAAGCTAATCCTCTACCTGCAAGTGCTGGCATCCCATACAAGCATATAGGCATGAGTTCGTGTCTGGGTTGCTCCACTTGCAATCCAGCTCCCTGCTAAGTCTGGGAAAGCAGCGCAAGATGACCCAAGTCCTTGAGACCATGACCACGTAGAAGACTTGGAAGAGGCTTCTGGCTCCCAGCTTCAGATCTGTTCAGCTCTGGCCATTATCAGAAGGGAAGTGAACCAATGGAGGGAAGACTTTCTCTTTTGATTTCTCTTTTCTGTAAAATCTGACTTTCAAACAAATAAAATTGAAAACTTAAGAAAAAAAAAAGGAGTGCTATGGTTGGGATGAACCTCTGGGACAGTCAACACAGGTTCAGAACACCAACAGCGCATGCCAAAGCGCCTGGATTTGACTATCAATTCCACCTTGAAGCCCAATTTCCTACTAATGTGCCTACCAGGAAGCAGGAGATGATGGTTCAAGCACTTGGATTCGCACCAAATGTGAGAGACCACTGATTTCCAAATTCGTGCCTTCAGCCTGGCCCAGCCCCAGCTACTGCAAGATTTGGGGGAATAAATCAGGGCATGGAAGAGCTCTGTCTCTCTGCCCTTCGTGAAAAATTTAAAGTAAAATAAGTAATTTTTTAAAAGAAGTGGTATGATTAAAATTGTTAACCACCAATTGAATAAACTGTGAAGTATATTTTTCAAGTCACAGGACAATCAGTGCACTGGTCTGTTTCTTTTATTCATTACCCGATTTTTTTTTTTTTTCAGTGAAGATGACTTTTTAAAAAAATTTATTTATTTTTATTGGAAAAGCAGATCTGATTTTATGGAGAAGGAGAGATAGATCTTCCATCCACTGCTTCACTCCTTAAGTGGCTGCAACAGCTGGAGCTGAAGCAATCTGAAACTAGGAGGCAGGAGCTTCTTCCTGGTTCACCTTGTGGGTGCAGGGTCCCAAGGCTTTGAGCCGTCCTCTACTGCTTTCCCAGACCACAAGCAGGGAGCTGGATGGGAAGTGGAGCAATTGGGACAGGAACCGGTGCCCATAGGGAATCCTGGTGCCTACAAGGTGAGGATTTAGTCACTGAACCATGGTGCTGGGCCCCAGTAAAGATGTCTTACCTTATCAGTCTAAACGCAGCAGGAGTGCCAAAGGATGCAAAGTCATTCATCAACTCTTCATCCAATTCTGTCTTAATTTTCACTAGACCCATCTTCTCAGGTACACTGAAAGGCTTCGTCTTACACTAGCTGTCTCAACAAAGTCACCATATTTCGGAGTCAAGCATTACGATGGTCCAGAAATTCCTTTACCTTATGCACATCTCCTTTCCTCCGTGAAGAAAGCCTCAGTAAACACTGGTTCAGCTAACTTGTTACGATCCTTCCAGCCAAGCATTGTACCTCTAGACCTGGAGCAGGATTTTATTCACTCCTCACTTTCGTGTTAGATGTGACTGTCCAAACTACAAGACTTACTGAATTTTACTATCATACTGAATATATTAAGAAAATCCAGGGGCTAGCATTTTGAGGTGATGCCTTCTCTGATACCATATCACAGACAGCCTAGTGCCCCAACATCACAACCACTTGGGGAGTGGACCAGATGTCTCTAAAAGAAAAAAAAAATCTTAAAAAAAAACACAGCTCAATAAAAAACGATCAGTTAATACATATGCTCTTATCCAACTCTAAAGATGCAGGTCTAGCTGAAAATGCCAACTACTTATGTTTGTTTCTTGAGTGCACTAAAACATTATAATTCTCATAAAAACTTAAAAATCTGTTTTCCTGACTTTTATTTTCATGTGGATCCAGGGCTAGCTAGCACACACCAAGTTTCATCAGACCTCATTTTATATGCGCCGCTGACTTCTAGGCCATCTGAAACTTTGAAGAGAAGCCCACACCATCTTTAACATTTGCTTATTGGTTTGTGCTTTTCTAGCTAATGCTAGAAATGCTAGACACCTCTCTTTTTTAGTGTCAAAATTTGCATGGCTGCCTTTCTTATGCAGCTTCAAGAGCCAGCCTTCATTTGGTTGAGGCCTTTGGTTTAGGCTTATTGGCATGGGTGCCGTCTCACAGCCTGTATTTTCAATAGCTCCCTAAATATTTACCGCGCGTCGGGCTGCCTGCGGCTGCCTGCCGTGTCTCCTGGAAGGGAGCGCAGCGCTGTCTTCGCTTTCCCTGACAGCGATTTCTGAGTGCTCAAACTTTCATTAAAGTTCTGATTTTTCACTGTCTTCAAGTTCGTAACCTGTCCTGTTTTAAACTCCGGATGGCCTTCCAAGACGAAAACATGATTTTCATTAAGAATCACGTCAGGAAGCCGGACCGGCCAGTCGCCCCACGGCGTAAACACACCGCGGCGCAGGCGCAGTGCCGCGGGGAGGGGGGGCGGCTTGGTGTGTAGCCCGTGGGATGTTTTGTGTAGTGAAAACACGAAAATAAAACACTGGATTCTAACGTGACAAATCGATACACTTTTTTTTTTTCTTGAATAGTTTTACTTTTCTCTTTGGTTTCTGAGGAACTGGCGGTGAGGACTCCTGGGCCTCCCGGAGGATAGTCCTTCATAGAATTACATTAATCTAATTTATTCTTGCCACGGAGTCTGGATTTGTCTTTTTTGGACTGCAGCACGAAAGCACTGGGGCCGGAAAGAAAAAAAAATGCGATGGGGCGGGCACGACAACACCGCAGAACACAGTTGCTGGGCTTCGTACTTTCCCAAACACCGCGAGATCTGCCCGCTGAGAAACGAGACTGCCCCTCCCCCAGAGGACTTCCGCGCATGCGCCGCGCCTTTAGCGCGCAAAAATTTCAAAATGTTGCTCCGGGTGTTGAGAGGCGGCCAAGTGTGGTCCTCAGGAAGTGTCCATCACGTTGATCCGATGTATTCGAGTACATAACCCAACATTCTTCCAACCTTTGCCGTCGAATCTCCACATTGCCTGTGTGGTGCGTCTTCCTTTCTTTCCGCTTTTGTATCTGAAGTCTGAGGCTTCAGCGAACAGCCGAAGGAACAGCCGTGGGAGAGCCAGTCACGGTTTAAAAATCAGTGATGTGGTTTTCGTTGTTTGGAAAAATCACTCTGGGAGCGACATAAAAAGAGAAATGAAAGGGACCAAGGAGTTTTTTTTTTTTTTTTTTTTTTTCTCTTCAGGAGACGAGGAGAAGATGTGACCCGAGGTAACAGTGGGAAGAAGATAGGAAAGTTTGGGAAGATAGGAATATTTGAGGTAAATCAAAGTTGACCTTGTATATGAAAATACTTCCAAAAGTTCGTGGAAAATGAAAGTTTAAAGATAAATTTATTGTGGTAGCAAAAATTTGAAATTCATGCATATGTGGGCCTTCCAAGAAGTTTGTGGAAAATATCTTAAAAATTATGCATAGGTTTAAAATTTTTCCATTGTTTTGCACAATCAGCTTCCTTTTAGTTCTGTTTTGCATGAATTTGTCGAGGTACTGTGGTAGCGTATCTGAGAGACAGAACTGTTGATAGTTCTTTGCGCACTCAAGAAATGTTACATTTATCCTGTGGTATATGGTATCTAGGTAGAACTGGGGAAATGAGCGAAACAAGGAAGATTCCAAAGCCATTGTCCTGAGGAAAGGCTGCTGTGGGCAGGGGAAGGCTAGACAAAACTGCAGAAGTCAGGAATTTGAGACGAGTCTTGAGGGAAGCTGACTAACTTGACATCTTTTTCTCCCAGGACCCACAGGACGCCTGTGCAAGCACTGGATTTTTCTGTACAATGTCACTAAGGTACTATTCACCAGAAATGTTCTCCTTTCGATGGACTCTGGCCTCTACTGCATCTACCCACCAGCTACACCTCTCAGCCAACAGGAAATGTGGATTTCATGGAATAAGACATGACATGTTAGCTACTGTATCCCAGGCACATTATAAAAACAGCTACTTTCAGGGGTGGGAGACGTGTAGCAGGTAAAGCCGCTGCTTAGGATGCCCCTATGGCATCGTGGAGTGTTGGTTCAGGTTCTGGCCTCTCCACTTCTTCTTTTTACAGATTTACTTATTTGTATTTGACAGAGTTACAGAGAGAGGGGATAGGGAGAGAGAGATCTTCATCTGCTGGTTCACTCCCCAAGTAGCTACAATGGCCAGAGTCGAGCCAATCCAAAGCTAGGATCCAGCAACTTATTCCAGGTCACCCAAGTGGATACATGGGCCCAAGGCCTTGGGTCATCCTCTGCTGCTTTAGCAGGCTAGAAGCAGGGAGCTGGATTGGGAAGTGCAGCCACCCAGACTAGAAGCGGCACCCATAGGGGTTGTTGGTGCCACAGGCAGAGGGTTTCCTTGTGATGCTACCCCATGGGCTCCACAGCCTTTCCACTTGGAGTTCATGTTCCTGCCAATGCATCTGGGCAGCAGGGGTGATGGATCACATGACCCAAGTGAGTCTCTGTCACTCACATGAAAGACCTGCATGGAGTTCCTGACGTAATTTCCTGCCCGCAGTCCTAGCTGTTAGGAGCGTGGAGAATCAGAGAGTGTGTTGGGATGGAAGCTCCCTCTCTTTCTGCTTTTTCTCTGTCACTCTGCCTTTAAATTAAATAAATCTTTTTTTAAAGTACATAATTCTAGACTCTAGCTTTCTAGTTCATTAGCTGTTAGAATCTGTCTTGACATTGGCAGCAATCCTTTGCAAATTAGCCAGTATAATTTGATTCTTTGCATGTTCTCTGGAGTATAAAGCAGAGGAATGCTGATGGAGTATGTAATTTTAGTAAGCCTAGCAAAGGAATGGCCAACAGGTGAGCAATATAGTTGTATTTGTAACAAAAACTAAATATGGAAAGGCGCAGGGTTGATGTTAGCAGTGATGGAGAAGGATCCAGGTATTAGTATATAGAAAAGAAGTACTTTGGCAAGGAGCCAGACATGACAGATCCCCTATCAAGTTCTCCTTATACAACTTGACATCTTTTTGGCAGCCTAGAGCATGTCCTGTCAGATGGACTACATGTGTGGAATTCAAGAGAAAATGCTTTAGGCAAAATCCATGAATGCAATAGAATAGGATTTCTGGGTTGAAACTTGGGTGTCTTGTAGGGGGCAAGATCATCATCCAACTGTACGAGGCGTGACAGCTCCAAATGAGGCCATAGAAAGTGTGCAGAACTGGAACTGGGACGCAGGGTCTGGCTCTGGGTTTGCCAGTCACTCTGTGTGACCACTGGGAACCTCTCTCTCCCAGCTCTACATAAAGATAATAGTGTCTATTTTGTATGATTATTTTAACGACAACGTGATGTACATGTTGAAAAGACCATATGAGTTGCCAGCGTAGAATTTGGTATACAGTACATGATCAATCTGAGCTTCTTGCTTGAGCCTCCCACTGCATGTGTGCTTGTCCCCTAGCAGTTGGATTGTGGGTGCTCCTGAAGCAGAGGTCCATCTGTGTATACAGAATGGATAGATAGGATAGATTCTCTACCTTAGAATCACCTGGGCAGCCTTTAAAAATGCTAATGGCCAAACTTTAGTCTAGATCCATTAAATCAGAATCTCTGAAATTAGGACCCAGAACTCAGTATTTTTTTAAAGCTCTCCATTGAACCCTGCTAAGATGGGTAGTTGTGTACCTGAACATGTTTTAAAGAGATAAAGGCTGGAGTTTGACATGAAGGGCATCATAAGCTTTATTAAGGAGGGAGGCCACTATGACGTGAAGTAGACACATTGGTTTGAGAAAAATCAGTGTGGAATCACTAATTTGTATGCCAGAAATAAACAGAATTTGCTAGAGTTGGCAGACAACCTCCCAGGTTGGTGCTTTGATATAGCACAGACAACACAGATGATGATGTCTGTTGATTTTCCATTTGGTGACTCTTGGACCATCAACAGGTGTGATGGTGGTAGTGGCATGGGATGAACTTTTGCCACTGCTGTGCTGTATTGGTTGGAGAAGGCATCAAGAGATGCCTTTTGAGGGTATGCATGTGGGTGTTTTCCTCCACAGGTCGGTACTTCTTCCTATAGACTGTCAGGGTTGATGTGGCTACTTTGACCACATACATGGTTTTTTGGTACTGACAGATAAAATGGTTTTCAGTTCTATCATTATAGCCTTTTGGTGAATAAACAACTCCTTAGAATAGGAGAGTTATCATATCTGGGTCAGAAATACACGCTTCTAAGAAACAAGGTGCTTTCTAGTAAGACAACTGGTTCCTTTTTTTTCAATTTAATTTTAGTTTAAATGTTGTTTACATAGTTAAGAATGTGCGCCCATTTGGGCTACCGATTAGGGTGGGGCGGGTTGAGAAATGGGAGGATGGGACAAATGTTTCCATTTTTTTTCCTTTTTCTCTATCTACAATACTGGGGGAAGGTTAGGGGACTGCTCTTTTGCTGCCAAACTGGATCAGCATCCAGAGTAATTTGATGTAATTTTAAAGACCCTGATGTGGGGAAGAATGTTCCAGGGGTGCTATTTGAGTGGTTTTGGAGGTGCTGAAACACTGTTGGTTTCATTGCTCCTGGGTTGAGAAAATCTTTCTATGGTCTGTTGGTTGACCCAGTCCACCTTAGTGCATCCGTGTATCCATATACTTGCTGCCAAAGCTTTCCAAAAGAGTTGTTCAACTTGTTCTGTTTTCCTTCATCTGCTGCGGCACTCGAATTCCTCTGCTGGCCTAGATGATCTGGTTGTCATGTCCCCTGTGTGCATCTGGAAGTGCTGTCCACTACACAGGCATCAGCACCTGAGGAGGCTCAGTCCCAGTACATGCGGTTCAAGGTTGGATCACATATGCTGTGATTTTTCCTGTGGCCAGAGTTTGAGTCCAGCAGTCTGGTTGGGGCATTCCCTAAAAAACCCCACCTGGGTGACCCCATACTTGACTCTTGTGTCAGTTCAGTGTCCAGTTCAGTCCATCACCAGCTTCAGCCCATGCACATACTGGTGAGTGCAGTAGCCTAGTCAGTTAGTTTTTCTTTCTTTCTCCCTCCTTCCTCCTTCCCTCCCTCCCTTCCTTCCTTTCTTTTAAGGTTTCTTTCTTTTTTTTTTTTTATTGGAAAGTCAGATTTACAGAGAGAAGAGTCGGAGAGAAAGATCTTCTGTCTGCTGGTTCACTCTCCAAATAGCTACAGCGGAGTTGAGCTGATCTGAAACCAGGAGCCAGGAGCTTCTTCCGAGTCTGTCATGCGGGTGCAGAATCCCAAGGATTTGGGCCATCCTCAACTGCTTTCCCAGACCACAAGCAGAGAGCTGGAAGAGATGTGGAACAGCTGGAACATAAACCGGCGCCCATATGGGATCCTGGAGTATGCAAGGTGAGGACTTAAGTCACTAGGCTACTGTGCTGGGCACATGCTTGGTCAATTTCAACTCCAGCTCCATCTCCCATGCAAAACAAGGATGCTGTAGACTACCTCAGTCCAGTCTGTCACAAATCTAGCCCTTACTCATTCTGTTAGGAACTGCAGCCTAGTTGTGGCAACTCCCAGTAACTTCTACAAGACTTGTCCCCAGCCTTGGTTCCTGTACATGATGGCATGCTCAGCATCTAGTCCAGCTTGTCCCACATCCCATCTAGTCCTCATACATACTCATGAGTGCAGACCCACCTGCAGACCCAGTTTACACATATGCCAACAGGTGCTGTTGCCTTATCCACCCCTGCATAACCCCAGGCCTGGTTCTCATGTTCACCAGTGGGAGCTGCAGCCTAGCAAAGGAGTGGCCACAGTTCCTCTACGAAGTCCACTCCTAGCCCCAGATCTTTTGCTTGCTGTGGTGTACTGTTGTCCAGCTTAACATGATTTGCACCCAGTTCTGGCATTTGCCAGTGGATGCTGAAGCAAAGCCTAGCTGACCTGCACTTACTCTAGCTCTTGCATGTGCCAATGCATGTGGTGACCTAGCCCAACTTGGCCTTGCCTCCTAACCAACTTACATGCAAGGCTGCCCAGCCTGGTCCATCTCCTGTCTCAACTCTCATGCTCACCAGTGGGAACAGATGCCAAGCAGGGAAGTTCCTGAAGTTCCTCTTCCAAACTCATCACCAGTCCTAGGTTTTGTGCATGCTGGTGTGTGTTGCAGCCTAGTCTGGCATGTCTCACCTCACCTTGGCTTTTGCTGGTGGTTGCTGCAGCCTGGCAACACTCAGCCCTCCACCAATCCCAGCTTATGCTGGGGGTGCTGCAGCCTACTCCAGTCTAGTCAGCCTTCAGTTCCAGCCCTTATGTGAACTGGCAGGTGTTACAGCTCACCCTGGCTTGGCTCACCCCCAGTCTTGCCTCTTGCACCTGCTAGTGGGTGCTGCAGTCTGGTCCAGCCTGGCCTGCCCTCAGTCCTAGCACACATGTATGTACTGTATCCCATCCTGGCCCCCAGCCTCAGTTCTTGTGCTCATCAGCGGGATCTACATCCTAACAAGGCAATTCCCCAAGTACCAGTTAGGTTTCCAGCTCTGGGTCCTGTGCATGCCAATGGATGGTTGACCCAGCCTGGCATGGCCCGCCTCTAGTACCAATGCTCACCAATGAGTACTGTGGCCTTGCCTGACTGAGCTGCACCCATTCTAGCCCTCACCAACAGGTGCTACAGCCAAGCCTTACCTATCCCACCCCAAGACCTGGCTCTCATGTGGACCAGCAGGTTACACAATAAGCCCTGCCTATCCTGTACCCAGTTTGATTCTCAGTTGTATCAGTGAGTGCTGGGCCAGTCTGGTCTGCCACTGGACCCAACCCACACACATGCTGAGGGGTGCTGCAGTCATGTTCAG